CATTAAGTTGGTTCTGACTCATAGCAACCCTGTACAGGGTTTCCAAGGAGCAGCTTGTGTGCTTGAACTGCTGACATAGTGGGTGAAACCAACATGCCAAAACAAATTATAGACTGTCAAAGTGAATAAAAACATGAAAGTTATTTATAAAGATTGTTGTTAAGTGCCGTCAAGTTGGTTCCAACTCATAGCGACCCTGTATAGGGTTTCTGAGGAGTAGCTGGTGTGCTTGAACTGCTGACATAGAGGGTCAAACTGACATGCCAAAACAAATTATAGACTGTCAACGTGAATAAAAATATGAAAGTTATTTATAAAGGTTGTTGTTAAGTGCCATCAAGTTGGTTCCAACTCATAGTGACCCTGCATAGGGTTTCTGTAGAGCAGCTGGTGAACTTGAACCACTGACTTTGCAGTCCAGTGCATTAGCCCACAGTGCCACACAAATGGTTCCCAATGCTGTGACATTGGTTTCGGTCCCCATGAAAGGATAGAAAATATATCCCATATCATGAAATTTTATTACAGGCCAAGACTTTAATAAAAGGCCTGCAGACCATACCATTTGAAACATGGTTGAGACTAAAGATGTATCTGCAATCGTGTACTTAGAAGATACATGATAGATAGATCTTTATAGACAATGTCAGAGCAAGATGGAAAACAACAGGCAACTTAAAAATAAATACAGTATGTAGTTTTTGCAACTAAATTTTTTTTAAAGAAATTATTCAGGGTGATGGTAACATGATATACTTGTAAAATAGCCTTTATTAATGAAACTCAATAAATTCATTTCATATGTTTCTTGTGTTTTATATTTGGTTCTAAAAACCAGAATATTTTCTGCTGTTACATATTATTACATAGTTCGCTCTATTAATTATGTTCTATTTCTTCATAATGATTTTCTCATATGTTACTGAACTTCTGGCATTGTTGTTGTTGTTAAGTGTCATTGAGTTGGTTCTGACTATAGCAACCCTGCATAAGATTTCCAAGGCTTTAAATCTTCACCTGAACAGAAAACCTCATCTTTCTCCTGTGGAGCAACTGGTGGATTCGAACTATGGACCTTGTGGTTCGCAGTCTAGTGCTTATTATATGGTGCGACCACCCTCCAGACTTTTGACGTGACTACTTGTAAAAAGAGTCTAATATTATTTGATACAAGAGGACTAACAATTCATATTTGTAATGAGTTTTAATTAGGTAAGATGCAAAGAAAATTATTTGTTGAAGTTTGTCCCACAAATTGCAGAGTATCTAGTATCCCAGGTGCCTTCTGATTTAAAAGTCTCAGTAGCACTACCAATCTTTGAGACCACCAATAAAAGCTCCCTAGGGATCAGTGCTGGACTGCGAACCACAAGGCCAGCAGTTCAGACCCACCAGCTTCTCCTTGGAAACCCTATACCGGGTCTCTATGAGTTGGAATCCTGCACATAACCACAACCATCACCACAGGAAACAGTGATGTGGCACTATAGGATAAGTACTTGGCTGCAATCACAAGGTTGGCGGTTCAAACCCACCAGCCAATACTCAGAAAACCCTGTACAGACAGGGTTGCTATAAGTCAGACCTGACTCAATGGCACACCTCATAACAAGAACAGGGAACAATGGTGGTCTTAAAAAACATAACACACAAAAACCAGGATTTATGGTCAGCATTTGTAGTTCTGACAAGGCAAAAATGGGGGTGTTAGTATGTGTGTATATGAATTAGAAATGGTATGCCCTACTCTATGGCACATAACAACAACAAATAGGGCCTTTGAGCACAGAATACCCACACACAATTAATATTGAATTCACTGGGATATTTATGAAGTCCCTGGGTGTTGCAAACGACTAATGGATGCTGCTGCTCACTGAAGATTATAGGTTTGAGTTTATCTTTAGCACGTGTGGGGAACCTTTTTTACGCCAAGGGCCATTTGGATATTTACAACATCATTCGTGGGCCATACAAAATTATCAACTTAAAAATTAGCCTGCTATGTTTGGTCAAACATTTAATTAACTCACCCCTAATGTAATGGCTCAAGGAGCTCTGGTAGCGTAGTGGTTACAAATCGGGCT